GGGCGACTTGTTTCTATTTCCATGCAAGTACGCTGACAAAGGTAAGCCACTGAATGAGTAATTCCTACTTTCCTACTTGGTAATTATTCTTGCGCATGTTCAATTTCCAGATGCCTGTGTAATGGATGTTCAGGTTGACAGTTTCTATGTTTCTACACCTTGCTACAATTGTTTGCTGATTTGTAAAGTAGTGAATTATAAACTGAAGAGCATAACTGGTAGCAAAATCAACAAGCTGCGTTTTATATAACTCACAGTGGTGAAAAAGCAAGAAAAAATTATGAATTTGGAGACGAATGTTCACGATAATATCAGTGTAATACTTTTTGCAATCAGACTTAAAGACTCACCTGTCCAAAAATCTGATGGTATTCATAAGAAAAAATGAAGTTGATGATTGCGTACAAGTAAGGAAATGTATTTTTGAAATTCTAATTATGCCAGCTCGTAGAGAAGTAAACGTGGTAATTTCACTGTGTAATTCATTTTGAAATCCTGACTCAACTAAAGTCGGAAATAGAAACGTTTCTGATTCTATTTTTTCGACTCCAGAAATACTCTGAATGGCGAAATTTTGTCGTCTGCTCCGCATTTCTTACCGTCCTCGACAGATGTTGAGACCAATGGTGAGAGTCGAATTTAAAACACCCTATACACATATCAATGTTATGATGCCTTCCCAACAGGATTGCAGAACAAGTGATTAATAACATTCTGGCAGGAGTTTTCACTCCGCCCAAATGTTAGCATGTCCTACATGTGACCGGTACATGAGTCCACCAATTCGCCAGTGCAAAAATAGCCACACCTTCTGCCCCATCTGCTTCAGCAAAATGCATAGGTGCCTCTTCTATAAGTCTAAGTATGGATGTAGCCTGCTAGATAGGATGAGCGACTTGTTTCTATTGTCATGCAAATACTCTGACAAAGGTAAGTCACTGAAGAAGTAATTCTTACTGGTTATCCTTGCGTTTGTTCCATCTTCAGATGCCGCATATCTAGATGTCAAGGTTGGCAGTTTCTACAGCCATTTGATAATTTTAATTAAATAATATATAAATTAAATTAATTTATATTTGATGAGCATGATCTGTGAAGCAACAATTTTGTGTGTTCAGTTAAAAATTATTATGGTTTTGCAAAAATAAAGTTGCCGCTAGTCCAAAGGCTCTAGATACTTGAGTAAACATTTCGTTGCCGAAGTCACAAAAGGATAACAACTATTGTTGCTTTTCAGGGGAATGAAGAAGAGTGTAAAGTACTCACACGTGTCCACCGCATTCAACCAACAGTTTCGGCTGAGTACGAGCAAAAACGAAGAAGGAGTTTTGAGATTCTGCCTCTTCCGTTTAGGTAATACGAAACTGCATAGCAAATCGACACATGAGGTAAAAATAAGTCACCCAGGGAGTCAATGACATACAGAAATACGGTCCTTTGCGTCACTTATTATGATACTGAGGAGCTCGAGTGCCCTCAGTGATCATTTTTGGTTAAGTGGTGCCGGAAAAAATTTGGGGATAATGATGGCAATTACTCTTTAGTAATTAAAGAATGTTACCCACAGTAGACAAATTAAGAAATATTTGTATGTTTGCTTAATGCTGATTACAATAAACAAAATCGTGACCTGGGTTAGGCATCAGACCATATAATTGTAAGGTTAATCAGTTGATAAACTAGACTAGTGCTAAATATATAGATATGTTAAGTATAGTTGTATGTTAGATATAGTTTTGAATAAGTTTTAAACCTGTAAGTGCATATAATTGTAAAAATGTGGATATCGCAATCACGTAATTATGGTAGTGTGAGCTTTAGTAGGTAAATAAAATGTTTTGATGTTCCAAAACCATTGCTTCAATTATAATTAAGCAACCCAGACTGGGATCATTCGTACACAGCACTACCCAAACCAAAGTGTCCATCGAACTAATGTGGCATATGATCTAGCAGGTGGTATGTCTGTAAGAGCTGCAAGAAGCGATATGCAGCTTCATACAAAATTTGATATACGTCAACTGGCAACCTGGAAAAGCGGCTACAGAATTCTTAGCCAGAAGGGAATTTGCCTTCTTTTTACGGAACCCTGAAAAATTGAGGCTTTGTCTTGCCAGATAAGGCTTATGCCAATTGTTCTGCTTTGGTATATTTCGTATATATGCACAATTAGCTGGCTCGTACTGTGGATAATTTAATCATTAATCCAATACCGGGAACGCACTGCCAAGTAAATTCTTGAATATTTAAAATAAAAATTTCGTTTTCTATCACAGTATGACATGCCTACTTTTCCGCCATTTTCCATTTTCCAGCTGCGATTTTTCGGCAGAGAATATCTATCGGGACTCCCAGCGGGTGCGGTTGTTGTCAAAATAGCGTAATAAAGTAATAACGTAGCTGAATGTGGACAAAATATTCGTGACATACATTCTACCGGTATGTCTGCTTCAAATTTGTAACCTCATCAACTGACGTATATTACTGGTACAAATATTCTCGAAAGAGCACCAATACTCCAGTCGGAAAACGAATCAAAAATAGCACCATGTTTCTTTTTTTATATTTCGCTCCTCTATCCTCCAACGTGTTGACTTTCCGACTATCTAGAACCACCCTGTATCAAGAATTTCAGCTGGTCATAAAGCAGTTACATCTCATAATATCAATATTTCCTCGGTGCTCGTATACCAACCTATTGAAGCTCTACTTTGAAGGATGAAAAGCGATGCGCCATAAAATAAGCATATATGAATATACTTTTACGACCGCATAGGTCTTCCACTAGATGCTATCGTCAAACAAAATTTATAGCTATTAGATGTTATTACGTCGGAGTATATTTTATGCGATACTTAAGCATCTTTCATATGAAATATTCTTTAAAATATTAAGCATCTACTTTCTCGACTTTGGTCCAGCCTCTTTAATTCAGCCACTCCTCTGACGCCAGCCTCCTGTTCAAAGCATGGAAACAACACTATACTCGTGCTGGTGCAGTCATCCTGGGCAGCTTCAGAGAAGAAAACAATACAGGGATCTTACGTTTAACCTTCAAAAGACTCGACATACTTACACTTCTACTACTACTACATTATATTTCTTACTTCAGGCGGGACACGCTTCTCGACTAAAAGCAAGTCTTAGAACACAAACTGGTTTATTAATTGACAGGGGGATCTTCACATTAACAAATGAGATAAAATTCTAACTGGATCTATCTATCCAGTTATTAGAGCGGAGTAGGAGTAACAGAGTAAACGCGGGGTTAAATGGAGTCAAGAGCAGTCAAAATGCGGTCAAGCTGGCAAGCGGTGATGATGCAAAGCGATAATCCCAAAGCGATGAACAGTTTACAGCAAGATTAGTGTGAGCAGGTAAAATATAAGACCATGCGAACGCTATCTATGGCCGCATCGTCTACAAGCTCTATTTTCCGCTAGGCAAGTCAGCACACTGTGAACAAAGAGGCGTGCTTCTTGAACCCCAAAGCTTTGTTGAAAGTCTTAAGTTTAAGCCGCCTGTAAATGTATTTGAAATTTTGTCTAAAGTATTAACCTCCTCATATATAAGGTTACCAACGCTTAAATAAGTTCTTTTAGGGAAATGCAACCTGTTGATAATGTCGGTACTTGATCGGACACAAAGTTCAGTAATAATCATATATATTGATACATAATTCTGTGACCTTCAGAAGCGTAAATACAAAAATAATATTCTTATATGAAATAAAACGCAACGTCTAAGAACAGCATCTATTTACTCAGGTCACACACAACACATTCAATAAACAATGTCAAGTTCTGCCTTTTCAGTTCCAGCTGGATCACACATCTGGAGCGGTACTGCAACCAGGACGGTACGTTGTGAAATAATACCTGGTTGTTTACCAGACAAAACAGATAGAATACGGAAGGATAACGATACGCCGCTTTAAGTAACTTTTTTACAAATCGTTTCCAGAGAGAAAAATTGTATTGCCCGCGGCAAAACTTGACTGCTGTTGTCACAAAAAATTAAAATACCAGTGATAACAAGTAATTATGTTCTCCTAGGACACCAGAAAACGACGCTAATAAATTTTTCTGATTTTATTGTCAATAAATTTTTTAATATTGTTATTGAACAGTTGCAGAATAATCTGTTACTCATGTCTTGTCAAATACCATTACTTATGGAAAAAGGACTTTTCGAAAAATATCGGTGCTAGAATATCGCAATTAACTGAATCGGACTCTAGCTACTTGACACCAGTTAAGTCTCATAGTGTCCAAAATAATCGCAAAAGACGGAACGAAGCATTGTAGTTGGATATTTTGAGGGTATTCGGCTCGGATTGTTTTGAACGTTTTAGCTCTTACTTGTGCACCAGAGAGATCAACTAGTCATAAATCAAGTTTAAATGCAGTTTTACAAGTTAAATAGAAACATATTTCAGAATTGCCAAATGCGAGCCCCTTCCCACTTCAGTTGGCCCAACTATTGAAATCTTAGTTTTTTTCTTATCAAACACAACTAATAAAAATGTAACAGGGTGTTATATTTTTAAAATATTAACAATTAATATTTTGATAATATATAGTAGAAAATACCAACTTTGTCACTCCCTAATCACATTTGCGGAAAAAATAGCACATGTTGCAATTACAGCATATCAACCTATTTTCATTTCAATGCAAAATAAGTCTATAACGCATAGGTGGCTGTGAAAAATAAAAGCCATGACAATTGTTTTTATTAATCACAGCTGTCAGAATACGTTTAAAATAGTTTTGGGTAGCTAAGGTTTTCAAAATGGGTAGAGGAAAGGTTATTAGTGAGACAATTCGGTTACTGATAATTAAATTTTTTAATTCTGGGAAATCAAACTCAGAAATTGCAACTTTGTTAGACTTATCGCGGTACAGTGTGAGAAATATTGTTAGAAGATATAACGTAACTGGTTCAGTTAATATTAAGTCACGATATGTGAAAAAAAGTAATATCAAAAATGCCGACCGAAGAGCATTAAGAAGAATAATCGTGAAAAACAGGCGTGCCAATTATTTACAATTAAGTGCTCTGTGGAGTCACGCTGTTGGAAGGAGAATTTCGAGGTCCACAACTCATAGAGAGGCCCACAAACTGGGATTTAGCACTTGCAAGGTAGAACATAGACAATGGACACCTCAACAATGGTGTGCAATACAATGGAATGATGAGGACCGATTCGAAGTTTGTGTTGGTGACAGTCGCAGTAGAGTTATTCGCAAAAAAAATTAAGCATATTGACTGTCTGAAGAGAAAAGTGAAATTTCCAGCATTCATTATGGTCTAGGGCAGTAGGTCATCAAAAGGAGTAGGACAACATCATTTTATTGATGGAAATGTGGATACAAACAAATATTTGGCAATTTTAGAAGAATCGCTTTTACCAGTGATGGAAGAATGTTTGACATCCGGCCAAGATTTTGTGTTTCAGCAGGATGGTGCCATACTTCAAAAAAGGGTATAAAATGGATGGAAGAAAATAATGTACAACTTTTGAAATGGGTTTCCAGCAGTCCAGATCTGTCACCTATTGAAACTTTGAGCCACGAGATGTAAAAGGTTCTACGACAACATCCTGCTCGTACAATCACCAAACTGAGACAAAAGCTTCAAGAAATATGGGATTGTTTTACACCAAATTTTTGCCAAAAGTTGGTTAACACTATGGCCCAAAGAATTTCAGCCGTAATAAAAAATAAAGGTGATGTTACCCAATGGTAATAATTCAATTGTTGCTTTCGCGCATTTATTCGCGAATTGTCTATTTGTTCAGATGTTGTATTAGTTATAGGTCTAAGTGATTTCAAATATGTATTTTTTACGACTAGAGTGTATCTAAAATGTTTTTGAGAAAACAAATTGTTTTAGAAGTAAATAGTTTCGTCGTGTTTAGTTTATAAAGGCATATTTTGATACAAATCTTAAAGTGGGCTAACTGAAGTGGGAAGGGGCTCGTATACTCAAATCAGTTCATTTTTCAATCTGTCATCATGATATGAAATCAATCCCACCAGATACAATAGCCAACCCTCATTTGAACACTACAGAGGTAAACCACACTTAGTATGGTACTAGTTAAAATTCAAACGGAATAAGTAGAAGTACCCTCGTATACGCAAAGACACATAAACAAATTTAAAATAAAAATTTCGCATAGGTAGGCAAACTAATTCATATTCGCAATCTACTCAACTCTTAGAATCATACCACATTTTTTTTTTAAAAGGAGTGTACAGGAGTATTATTTATACAAAATAGAAGTCCAAAAAGATTGTAGGTTTTTCAGGAACTTAGAAGCCTTGCATTATTGTGCATTAGAAGAAAAATTGGCATACCTTGCTCACTTGGAAAAAGAGCATGGCCAGAAGACATTGTAGTATGAATTGAAAAGGATGAAAGCACAGACTTCTGCACGTATTCCAAACCGTCGTTCCTTGCATATGATTACTTCAAATCAGTTTTTGATTCTATAAATGCTCCTAATCCAGTTTTAAAGCATTATAACAAAAATGTTTTTATATAAATAAATTTTCTGTAAGGCTTCTAGAACCTCATGAAATAGTCGTAATAATTTATAGCTTCAAGCCTGATGCGAAAGGTACTGAAGGGTACATCACCTACCTTTTTTTTTGCCTTTTTCCCCGAATAGTGGAAGCGAGCAATTGTGGTACCAGTCCAAAAAAAATTAACTCCAGATAAGCTTGCTGATCTGTGATCTATAAGCCTGTTGCGATTTTTATCGAAGGTAGGTGAAGAGGCAGATGAACATATCATTCGATCTAATCAGTCTACTTTTAGGAAATCTTTCAGCACTAGTACTTCCCTCCTAAACTTAGAGCAGTTGATAAGAAAATAAGATACCAAATCGATCGCAGTGTGTATCAGTTGATAACAACAAACCTAGTTTTGTAGAAATCTCATCTGGAGTACCTCAGGGGCCTGTTTTTTTATATATGTCGCGAATCTTAATGAGACTGTGAGTTTCTGTAACTCCGGTCTTTCGCGGACGACTCTCAACTGGTACACCATTTTGATTCTGATGAAACAGAAATGGCGCAGGCATGAATAAATCATGAAATTCAAAATGTGTATGAATTCTCGAGTAACCACAACATCTCAATGAATCCTAGTTGATCCAGCCCTATCTTTTTTGTTCAGACCATAAAAGAGAGGAAATTAAAAGTCAGCTACCTGGTAAAACTGTATCTCAAATTGTTGAAGTAATAATGCATGACAAATTTAGATTAATCAGTTATGTCAAAAACTTATTTAATACTGAGATCACTATATGCTAACAAAGTAAAACTAGGGAAAAATTGTGTTCGTCTATGGTTTTTAACTACTGTGATATTTTATATTGGCCGTATATTGATATTATTACTAGAAATCGGATTTAAATTATGCAAAATAATTGTGCTGAGTTCACCTGCGAATTAAAGAGCCTTGACCATGTTTCTGGTATTACCAGAGGATTGATCTGGATGAAAACAAAAAATATTGTCAAATATGTATTCATTCATAAACTAATACTCCAAACATATGTACTTAAGGGAAAATCCATACATGACAGATATATTAGATTTCCAAACATGATAACCATAGCTATACACTTATTCCAGTTTTCCTTTACGTACAGTGCTGCAGTTTTACATTATGCTTGAGACCTGAATTTAAAAACATGTTCGTAAATTGCTTCAAGAAAGTCGTTAAGTTACAAATTGCTTGGATCTGTAGTTTAAATGTATTTCTTATCTTCGTTATTAAATTATTTCTGTACTTTCTCTGTGTACATATGGTATAAGTAAACCTTTGCGCAACATATATTTTTTGGTTTTTAATATCTGCTACCTAACAACTTTTTTGTATGGGTGGTTAAGTGTAAGAGTACCGTTTTGGTAAACTTCGTCGCCATTTGCAACTGTTTTTTTATGCATGGATTAAATTAAATTATTATTATTATTTTCAATTTGAAAACAGTTAAAACTCTAATCAGAATTCGACTCTCTCCTTAATACTCCAAAACTAGAAAACATGTGGAAACATAAAACGGTAAACCAGATTTACTAAAATAAAGAACGAGTCAACCAGGAATATAAAACCTTCTACAGGTTCTGGAGTGAAAACTATACGGTTACGAAAATTTCGAAACATTCAGAAACTAAAAAAGAAACTTACTTACAATTAGCAGAATTAACACTACTTCACTTAAAAATCACCTTATTACCACTGGGTATAGGTGAGTCGGTCAGTTCTACTGTTCTTATGGTTCTGGCTCGCCTCACGGCTGGAACAAGACAAGAGCCCAGTCCAGCAGCTAGAGCGACCTCGCTTTTATACAGGGTGTCTGAAAAGCGCCGTAACCCCACAATAATTTGCGAAGTAATAATTGTAGGAAAAACGGAATCTCGCGATTGATAGAAATTTGCCCCAACTGACTAATGATGACCTTGACCATGACCTTCAAAGTAATTTTATTAAATTATGCTCCCGTAAACGAAAAGATTGGAAAAAGTTGTTCGGACGTGTCCTTGACGATTTTCTGAATTTGACCTTGAACTTGCACACTTAAGGTCAAACACAAGCTTACCTTATTTTCTTGATGATGGCTACAAAAATCGACTTGACATCCACAAGACCTTGAATCACATCACGGATAAGGTCAGATCGAAGGACATCATTGAATATGCGGGGAAAATCATGAAAATAAGGTCAAGATATATCACTGTACCTGGATTCGACCTTGACCATGACCTCCTGAGGTAAAAATTTAAGAACGGTCAGGACCATATTTGAACTTGTGATTTTTTGCTTTTTTATTTACGGAGTTAAAAATAGGCGGCTTCCTTAGAGGTCATGGTCTAGGTCAAATCCAAGGTCACAATTGAATAGATGGGGAAGACTCCAAACAATCGAGCGTTGATGCTTAAGAAATGAGATCTCAAAAAACCAAATATTTAGAATCATTATCTGAATCTAAGATCAATGTACATGTTGTTCCACAGGGTACTGTGCTGGGCCCAGAATTGTTTTTGTTGTACATAAATGACATTGTTAATATAATTAGGAAGTGTGATTCAGTGGATGATATAATAAATTTTTTAAATGAAGATTTAAATAATATATATAAAGGTTAAACAATAATAGTTTAAGTGTGAATGTAAATAAAACTAAATGTATGATATTGAAATCTAAACATAATGTAACTAACACATACAATAACAAGGGTATGGGAATTAATGGTGGTAGACTAGATCAAGTTGATGAATGTAAATATTTAGGAATAATTATAGATGAAAATTTAGCGTTTTCAAAACATGCAATTTATACGTATATAACCAAAAAGCTATCAAAGAAAGTGAATTTATTATGTATGTAGAATGGGGAAAGCCTGAGTGTCTGGGCTAAATTAATTATATATAAAACGATAATCCTACCACATTTCAGTTACTGTGCAACAATCTTGTATATGTTTAAGAAAGGTGATATTGATATTATTCAAAAGAAACAAAACCAGGCATTGAGAAGTATTTTGGGATGCGGAAGATACGGTAGAAGTAAAGACATGCTGACATCTACAAATTTATTAAGTGTAAGCCAGGAGATCTTTTATAACACTATGATGGTAGTATACAAAATAAGGAATAGAATGTACCCAGAGCATATTATTAATAAATTAAAAATGGTCAGCGATATACATAGTTATAATGTTAGATCTAATTCCAACTTTTATGTGTCTCGGGTTCAACCTTCCTTTGCCCAAAACAGCTTATTTTATAAGGGCCTTGTAGATTTTAATAGGATTCCAGAAGAAATTAAAACTACAAATTTTGTTAACTTCAAAAGGCATTTAAAAAAATATGTAATAGAAAATTGTAGTTTATAAGTTTATATCCAAATGTTTTCTCTGTTAGCACATTGCTATGAAATAAAGATCATCATCATCAAGTCATCGATATGGCACATTGCAACCACAAGGCTTGAAATTTGACTTAAATCATTTCACTCAAAATAATATATTTCATCACAAGAGAGAAAATCGACGAGTTTCGTGTATCTCGATGTGTAACATCAATAAACAAAAACTGTATGGAATGTCAGAAAAAACCTTAGGTTTGTTTTGGGTATTCGGAGTCTTTATATTGAGGAAGAAATCATATTTACAACAGAGCCAAGAGCACTATCCGAATTTCATGCCATATCGTAAATTGGTCAAAAATATTTGACGAGAATACGCGAATACGAGCGGAGCTCAAAAAGTAGTGAGTAATCAACGGCGCCGGGAAAAAAGCTTCATTACATTATAATCGCGAAAGAATTCATAATTATATTTTAGGATTTTATATTACATGTACTGACAGTCTGTTCAATAATCCTTGGCGCGTCTGTAACTTGGAAAGACCCTCTCTGACTTTAATGCAATTTTCATACTAGTATGCCAAGGATGAAAATGAAAAAAGTTTTTGAAAATCGGCGCAGTGGCGGCGAAGAAAAGACCAAAAATGAAAACGCTTAAAATCTCCCAAACTTCGTTTTTTGACCCTCCAAAGAATACTGATGTGTATAACTAGTTGTTTATGTCAATTCTCAACGTTTGCCATAGGTTGGCCAAACACTCTTACGTTAAGGTTTCGAGATGCCTGTTGCTGGTGATCAACCGTCGGTAGAATTCTATCCTCCAACGATGGTCTGTTCCTGTTCCCGCAGCCTCGTCTCATACATCCTTTCGAGGAGCTGGGCAACTCTTTTGGCGATAGTCTGTGGAAACCGATCAGTGAATTTGCGCTTAACTTTCTCAACATCGTTATCTGAGAGAACCCTGTCCCTTTCCTGCGCGGTTTCTAACCTCAGCAAAACAGCTCTGTGTCAGATAAAGTATCGGTGGAAAATGGAACAAAATAAAGATTCGTGGATGAGCACAAAAAATCACCGTGGAAAAACACCACTCAGAAGCACTTCAATATCAACTGATAATTTTTGGAAAACCTAGCCGCAGATTGCAAGCGTGCGTTTACTCACAAGGCGCCACCTTTCATGCATATTTCCCCCCTTTATATACTAAGTGACATATAAATCCGAACACCCAGTTTAAATGGTTTTATTTTAATAAAAGTTGGTGAATGTATTTATCTTACTGTAAATAACAAGTGAAAAAATTTTCAGCCTTATCAGTTGGACATTCCGGTTTTTGTACTGCTTTTTTTTAATTCACTAACGCTCTAAAAATGAATATTTCAGGCGCAGTAAAGAATCAACGTTGGCGGATTTTGGTTCTTGACATCCTTTACGATCGGTTACGATGCCTAGAGTACGGAGACCTGTACGATTTCGTCAACTTAGTGAGTTTGATAGGGGCCATATAGTGGGACTTCGGGAAGCTGGACTTTCTTTTCGGGCGATTGCAGTTAGAGTGCAAAGAAGTGTAGACACTGTGGTTAGGTGTTGTCAGGCATGGCTTCGAGAAGGCCGTACGCAAAGAGCAAGGGGCACTGGACGCCGCCGTAGAACAACAGACCGTGAAGATCGCCGCCTAAGGTTATTTATTGGCCTTAAGGAACCGTTTCTCCACTACCAGGTCCATTGCAAATGAATGGTTTGCAGAACACGGAAGACCTATTGGCATGCGAAGTGTTTACCGACGAATGAGAAGTTTTGGCTTGTTTTCATACCGGCCACACTGGATCCTCCCTTTAACTCGAGAACACCGACGTAATCGCCTTGAGTGGTGCAGACAACGGTCACTCTGGGATTAGGAATGGAACAGTATTGTCTTTAGTGACGAGTCTCGATTTTGTTTAGGCATGCACGATGCTCGTGCCAGGGTTAGAAGGCGACGTGGTGAAATGAGGAATCCACAGTTTTTTGTTGAAAGACATGTTCATCACACTGTTGGAGTTATGGTTTGGGGTGCTATAGCTTATGGTTCCAGGTCACCTTTAATCTTCATCAGAGGTAACATGAACGCGCAGTGTTATATCCACGAAGTTTTAGAACCCCATCTTTTACCCTATCTTGACACCCTGGCAGATCCAACTTTCCAACAAGATAATGCCCGACCACATGTTGCAAGAGTCACAATAGACTTCTTTCAACATAATGATGTCACATTGTTACCATGGCCACTAAGATCTCCCGACTTATCCCCAATTGAGCACGTGTGGGATATGATGGGTAGGAGATTGCTCAATTTGCAACGTCCTTCTCAGACTCTAGAAGCACTTCGAGAGGAGTTGGTGGTTGCCTGGAATGAGATACCACAGGAGGACATTGACCACCTGATCAGAAGCATGCCTAGGCGCGTTGGAGAATGCGTAGCACAGGGTGCATCCACACATTATTAAAGGTCAAAGGGCTTTAAAGCAGTGCAATCATTTTGAAATTTTTGTCATTTACTTATTATGCTTCATTAAGTACTTATACAAGATTTTATTAAAATAAAACCATTTAAACTGGGTGTTCGGATTTATATGTCACTTAGTATATGTTAGCCCTCCTCGCAGAAAATACCCAAATTGGTAGAATGCAGAAACAATAAGGAACATAAAAAACAAGTATAAGCTGCACAAAATGCTCAAATGATTTGGACAAGTTGAATTTTTTTCAAGAGTTTCAAAATCTAAAGGCAAAAAGCGAGAGAGATGTAACTACTGCATATAAAAAATACTTAACAGGTATTCAAAATGATATCGCTAATACTCCTAAAGTACGCAATAAAAAATGTCACAACCCATGTGAATCAAATGAACTACAATGGCGATACATACAGCACGCTGATGAGATAGCAAATGCTTTTGCCAACATTTTCGTATCAGTGTTCTTGAGGAATCCTTATTTGCCACCGTCAAGTAATTCACCTCCGTCCTATGGTAATTCTTCCCTACGTAATTTTAATGAAACCGAGGTTTATAAGGCATTGAAAAAAAGGAAAATAAATTGGCTAGCCGTCCGGATTGTATTAAGGAAAAAGCTTGTGGTAATGGGAACAAAGAAATATGAAACCGTAAAGCTCCAAGAAATCCAAAACCTGCTGTAGACTGTCTGAGAATCTCAGAAAGTTGGACCATATCAGTACTGCTTCCCCAGTACTAGGATAATAATAATAATAATAATAACGTTTATTGTCACAAAATACAGATAAATATCAAATATTGTGTACAATAAACATAAAGCACACAAAAAAAGTTTGCACTTGTGTTTGGGTTTGTTAAAAATAAAAACTAATGGTAGTCAGTGTATGAAAAAAAAACGTTAATACTGTATAATTTGGTGAATTATTATGGTAATGTCAGGAAAAATATCCAGACAATTATAAATAAAGTATAAGTATGGATGTTAGTGTAAGTAAAATATTATTGATTTTGATAATGATTTTTCAGATCTACAATTTCGTGGATGGAGTACCTTGGTTGTTGTAAAATCCATTTTTTTAGTTCTTTTTTAAATGATTTAAATGATTTAATTACTTTTAATGACTCTGGTATGAAGTTATAGAATTTTGGTCCCAAGAAAAACAGAGATCGTTGTGTAATGGTTTTGATGTTTGTGGAATAC